ACAAATTCCGTCAATCTAGGGAGGCCCATTGGATTGAGACATTGAATACAGCAAGACCTATAGGACTAAATATTCATCATAATGTAGGCATAGCACCCTTTGTTGTCCCGTTTAATACAACCAGCAATCGAGCAAGCAAGATAGTTCATGCCCACTATAAGAGCCTTCAAGAGAAATTCCCCCATGTCTATAAGCAGAAAATGATAGTTGCATATTCAAAAAATAAGAACTTAAATGATAATATTGTTCATAGTAAACTAAAAACAATCAGTACATAACAGATACTATACTTCTCGCCCATTGGGCGAGTTATTTTTTCTAATTTCAGATCAGAATAAGAACAGAAGAAAACCCAATATCAAGACCCTTAATCCTGATTTCTAAATAAAGTGTCTGCTCCACCCTAGGCCTGTACATTTGGGAGAATCAAACCCTCCCTTCCCCGAAAGCTAACAATGATGTGAAAAATTATAACAAGTCAAACAAAAACTTACGCAATTGACACGAACCGGTTTTCGAAATATTATCCTTTTTCAAGTGTCGAGGAATGGTTATGAAATTCAATCGAAGCTGGATGGAGTTCCAATTACGGCCGCCAAAATAACGAAATCAGACACTGTTCGCACTTTGAAGAATCTGCAACCTGGATTAAAACTAGGTAACGAAACCATCCACGTAGATCCTCGGGTCCTTTTCTTACGGTGCACAGTACTCGCAGAGCGAGAACAATCTTCTTTCTTTTCGTATGAGATGACCACAGTACCCGTATCTTTATTCAAGGACCATCTCATGCGCAAAAATACCAAATCCGATCTTGCTCACTATCTTGAGAAGAGTATTACCAATGTTTATACTGAATCAAAAACAGGTTCTGGTTTACTTACTGTTCTAGATGGCGGATGGCTCTTGTATCAGGTGAAGTGGACTGCTGGTATCAAGTATGGCGATTTAGCAGACGTGTATAATGGTTTCATAGAAAAGAGGTACGGGCGTGTAATAGTTGTTTTCGATGGTTACGAATCATCCCCGAAGGATCAAGAGCATTATCGCCGGGGTGGGAAAATGGCTCCATCGATCCAGGTCGAAAGTGAGAAAGGACAGAGACACGTTTTTCAGAAATACCAGCAATAAATCAAGTCTTATCGCATTTCTTGCTTTGGAACTTGAATCGCGCGGACACAAAATATTGAAATCGGACACTGATGCTGATAATTTAGTTACAAAAACTGCTATTGACTATGCAATTGACGGTCAGGGTGTTAGAGTTATAGCCGAGGACACGGGCATATTCATCAGCTTGATTCACCACTGGTCACCAGACATGGCAGAGGTGTATTTTCAGAAAGAAGATCGAAGCTCAAAAACATCTAGCCAATCTTATAAACTCTCAGAACTACATGCGAATTTGGACCCCATAGTACAAAAATATATCCTGTTCATTCATGTTTGGTCGGGGTGTGATACAACGTCTGCGACATTCGGACAGGGTAAATTACAAGTTTTGAGACATCTGGTGAAGTCACCAGAAATGCATAAAAATGCCGACGTGATCAGTTCTGAACTATCCAGTGTAGATGAGGTTAGCCAGGCCGGTATTCAGATATTTGTCTCAATGTTTGGTGGTAAACGGGAGGAAAATTTCACAGCACTCCGTTATCGCAAGTATCAGTCCATGATTACAACATGTAGGAAAATAGAACCCGAACGATTGCCCACTACTGAGAGAGCTGCACACTTCCATACCCTCAGAGAACATATTCAAGTTATTCGTTGGAGAACATTGAACAATGATACTCTTGATGCAAATGAATGGGGATGGAAGATTGCTAGAGGGCGTAACGTTCCAATAATGACGGACAAGGAGGCTGCTCACCCAAAGATTTTGAAGTTCATCCGTTGCTCATGCAAACCTAACAGTACTCAATGCGCAACGAATGCTTGTACTTGCCGTAAAACTGGGTTGAAGTGTGTCGCGTCCTGCAGTGGCTGTGTGGGTCAGCAGTGTTGTAATACCGATGTTTTAAATGACGTTAGTGATGATGAAAACTAATCATTAATGATAAGACTGGTCATTTTTCAAAGCATCTTTGTTATTTTATATTATGACTATTTATTTGTAATGTAATGATGCTAAACTAAAACCATCTTTGTATTACTATCGTTATGATACCTAATTACATTCCCGTTTTCCAATTGTGAAATCTTGGCAGAGACGTGCAAGATAGGTACGTTAGATTTGATTCATTTTCGAATTAAATGGTATCAATTACCTACAATATGATACCAAACTGGACTTAGGACTGTTCAGAATTCATCTTAGTTTTGAATCGTGCATTATGTGTAAGCATCTTCATGCAAGTAAGCAGTTTTGAAAATGTGAATTCATAAATTGCTGAGTTATGGATACTACTATGGCAACAACATACGCTTATTTTGGTTCTTGCAACTTGTATGGACCATATAGTTGCCTTTCTTAAAACAATATTTTCCTAACCCCTGTTTTGCATGAAAAATCCTTGTATTATGTCATCTAAAAAATTACAAGTCAATAGCATGATTAGTTCTCGAGAAATTTGCTTCACGAGAATATGAACAAATTTCCCGCCATTTTCCCGTTGCCATGGCAACCATGATATTTATTGACTACAAAACCTTTTTTTTTTCAATTATCTTTAGTATAGGTATGAAAGCATTAAAAGCAACTTTGGTAGACAATAAATAAAAAAAAAAAGTTTGGGATGCTAACTACCCCCTTGGGATTTCGGGGTTATTTCGGGTACCAAACTTAAATCGCTCACCACGAAGTTTCCCCAAGGGAGATTTTGCGAGAGTTTTTCCTTGGAACACTATAGACATGGTACTTGCAGAAAATGAAAAAATAATTTCTGTGCAAATTTTTTCCACGGCCCATGTGCTCTCCTATCAGCCTATTTGCCTAAAATCCATAAGAATCCAACCAAGGAGTGGTTTATCTAATCCCTAAAAGGCCGCCCGATTACATCTGACTGTGGTAGTGAGTCGTATGCAGTGTCAGAATACATTGATCATTTCTTACAATCTCTAGCATGTCAACATCACGCCTACCTTAAAAACACAACCGATTTTGTCAATAAAATAAAAAATCTTCGAGTTCCCTCTAATGCTATTTTAATTTCTATCGACGTTTCTTCTATGTATACCATCGATAACTCTACTGGTTCAACGGCAGTTCGTAAAGCTTTTAATAGAAACCCAGATCCAAACAGACCCGACGATGCAATTCTACAGCTTTAAGAGATTTGTCTTAGCCGAAACGATTTCACATTTAATGGTAAAACATATTTACAAACTTCAGGGACACCAATGGGCAAACGATTCGCAAACCTTTTAATGGCAGAGTGGGAACGTGAGGTGTTGCCGCTCTGTCCATTTGACCCACTTTTTTACGGACGCTTCTTGGATGACAGTTTTATGGTTTGGACTTATTCTATCGAACAGTTTTGGGAATTCTTTGAAATTCTCAACAACCACCATCCTTCTATCAAACTAACCGCAAACGTGAGTGACAAAAGCATAGACTTTCTCGATACCACTGTCTTTAAGTGAGATTCCAAAGCAGAAACATATAGAGCCACTCGTGGCACAGAGTGGGACTTGCAAATGTAGCAAATTGCAAAAGACCCCGAAAAAATCATCCTTCCACGATAATTAGATCAAGCGCAAGAAC